CAGTAATATTAGCCAGTCTGTCATTCAGTACCAATAAAGTAACCAAAACAACAAAACCAGAACTTCATGGTTTGTTTTTTCATGAGCTGTTGCATTGTTCTTAGATGCCTGTAATGGTTAACATGGATGAATGTTGGAAAACCATGTTGATTCCTGTATTTGCCTGATTTAAAGCTCCTATTCCTGAGAAAACCCCATTATGCCTCATTCCTTATCAAAAGGATGAATTTATAGTTCAAGAATGATTAATGAAATAATTTGAAATAATTAACAAAGATCTTGCTGAGCAAAGTGAGTAACACTGAAACAACAACCTCCTGTACGGGATGCATCTCTCAGATCATCATAAAGACAGAACAGATTACTTGGCAGGCAGCATAGATCAGCTGCACTCCACCTTTTCATCAATCTTGAAAATTCATTATTATAAAAATGTTAAACTTTTTGGGGAAAAAAGGTCACTTACCAGTAGCCACAGCTGTTTGCTATGAGTGGTATGTATGCACTTTGGCTCTTTAGAGGTCCAAATGTCAGAGGTATCCAAGATCATAAAACACAGGGGTTTTTTGGCCCTCACAATATACAAACACCTGAATTTAAACAACCTGATGTGAAACATGACCAAGGTTTCTGTGCTTATAAGTTAACACAGCCTAAGCACATAGTCTTGACCCATTAATCCAGCAGTCCATGGTAGTTGCAGTCCATGTGTAACTGAAGTTAACTTGCGTTCAAACAGACTATGGCACAAAGAGGAAACAAGGACAGGAGTCCCGAGAAAATCACGTTCTGAGGACAGCCCCTCCAAAACAGTGCTCCAATTAAAATTTAAAAAGACACATACTAGCTATGGAAAGGCAGCTAAATACCCATCAAAGATTTCAAAAACCTTGCTAGGGCATGCAGAGATGTGGTTGGGAATGCTAAGATTCAGACAGAACTAAAATTGGCCAAAGATGTCAAGAATAACAAGTAAGGTTTCTACAGATATGCCTAACTAGGCAGGGAAACCACTCACTAGTCATGCTGGTAAGGCAGAGGTTCTCAGTATCTTTACATCCACCTTCACCAGCATAGCTGGACCACAGAGCACTGGATCAAGTATCTACAACAATGAATGTGTCAACCCACCAGAAGGTGAACAGCTGGTCTGCAGCTTCAGAAATCCACAGGCTCAGAAGAAATTCACCCTAGAATATTAAGGGAAACAGATGATACTGGTGCAAGGCCACTCTCTTTAAGAAGCCTTGACAATCTTGATATAATAGACACTTCTTGTGCTGAGAGCAATGAATCACTGTAAGATGCGATTGGACAGGATACTAGATAGTTTCTTCTGGGGTCCTGTTCCTATGCAAGATTGGAATGAAAGATCTTTCAAGGTCTCTCCAAGCAATATGGGATTCAGTTGCTAAAAATTTACATCTGTAGATACACTGATATTTTCTCAGCTGTTTCCAAAGCTGGACAGTACCACATGAGAGGCTGCATCAGCTGAACTTCTTGGTCAGCTGTAAACGAAGAACTGCATATCACACCTGAGGCTCAAGCTATGGAGTGAAAAATTTCTTCAAGGATGCGAGAGAGATTTGCACAGTGTACTGCATTACAAAGGAAAGCAGGATTTTATTTCCATTACCTGGGTTTCATAAATCTGGAGAACATTAAGAGTAAAACTCTTCCAAGAGTAGTGGAATGCCTGGAAAACTACCTCAAATATATTCAGGAGTAATATGTTGTCAGTTTCCTTTAAACTTTTAATGTAGAGAACTGTAAATCTCCTGTGCCTGCTAGGGTCAGAAGTGGGTTAGGGATTATGGATGCTAAATCTGAACCACAGTGCCTGTACAAATTACAGGCCGCATAGCTCCTCAGGCTTGCTTGAGAAAGTAGTCTAGGAAAAACATGAGAAGGAATTAAAACAATCCTCAGGGACACAAAACAGCCTTGCAGGTGTTGTTTTCTATTCCTTGTTTTCCTTGCAGGAGAAAGTCAGGGGGGTGGTGAGCCCCACTGACCAATGACGGTAATGTAGCACTTTACTAAGCAATAAGAGTTTCCTTTCTGTACTTTCCACGGATCTGTCTATAAGACAAGCCTAGAGCAATAAACTAAGGAATTCTCCTGTTCTGACTCCCTTGAGAGTCCTTGTTGTTCTTTTCGCCATTCCTAATTAGAGCGACAAGGGATAGCAAGGGACTAGAAAGCAGAGTCAGAATTTCTGAGGAGAGCTGAAGAATGACTGACCTCCCACCTGCAACTTGGTCCTGCAGATCAAAAATGGGCCTCTAACCCATTCAGAGAGAACAAGCACAGCAGGTTGGCAGCAAGTCCTTCATACTTCCATAAACTCTGCTGAGATGCACACCTCCTGAGGCACAGGATAGTCATCTTCACACACCGCTCCAGGAAACACAGATAAAGAATTTGAACCCTACAATCTTCAAAAGGTGTGACATGAGAAGAGCTTAGCTGCCATGGCCAGTTCCAACACAGAAAGTTGTCTTCAGCAAGCCAGAAAGTGCCATGGCACAGCAAAGGCCCACACATGTTGTTTCATGCCATCAGGGGTCCTCAACACTAAGTGCTTTGATCTGTGGGATTAGATATGACCAACTGTGTAGTATGGTCCTCCACAACATTTTTCTTTCTGAACTGGAGAGATGGATTTGAAGGGTGCACTGTTAGATGAATAAGAAAAGCAGGTGGATGGTCGCAACCAGAGGCTGGCTCAGATTCAATGGCTCAGAATGCCTAGGGACATCAGTGACAGGTGGGACCCATATCCGTGTTACTTATTATCTTCATTAATGACATAGATGAAGAGATCCAGTGCAGCCTCAGCAGATTTGCTGATGACACCAAGCTGAGTGGTGTGGTTGCCACACCTGAAGGATGGGATGACACCAGAGGGACCTGGACAAGCTGGAGAAATGGGTCTGTAGGAATCTCATGAGGTTATACAAGACCAAGTGCAAGGTGCTGCACCTGGGTCAGGGCAACCCCTGGTACCAATGCAGGCTGGGGGATGAACAGATGGAGAGCAGCCCTGGGAGAAGGACTTGGGGTGCAGGTGGGTGAGAGGCTGGACACGAGCCAGCCATGGGCACTCCCAGCCCAGAACACCAAACGTGTCCTGGGCTGCATCCAAAGCAACATGGGCAGCAGGGCCAGGGAGGGGATTCTGCCCCTCTGCTCTGCTCAGACCCCACCTGCAGGGCTGCATCAGCTCTGGGGTCCCAGCACAGGAAGGACATGGAGCTGCTGGAGAGAGACCAGAGAAGGGACACCAAGATGATCAGAGGGATGGAACACCTCTACTGTGAAGAAAGGCTGAGAGAATTGGGATTGTTCAATCTGGAGAAGGCTCAGGGTGACCTAACTGCAGCCTTCCAGTACCTGAAGGGAGCCCAGAAAAAAGATGGAGAGGGACTTTTTAATTAAAAAGAACATGTAGTGACAGGGGAATGGCTTCCAACTGAAAGAGAGCAGGTTTAGGAAAGATATTGGCAAGAAATTCTTCACTGTGAGGATGGTGAGGGACTGGAACAGGTTGTCCAGAGAAGCTGTGAATGCCCCATTCCTAGAAGCATTCAAGGCAAGGTTGAGTGGGGCTCTAAGCAACTGGTCTAGTGGAAGCTGTCCCCATCCCCACATGGCTGAACTAGATGATCTTTAAGGCCTCTTTCAACTCCAACCATCATCTGATTCTGTGGTTCTATGATACAGTCTCCAATTATGGAGCGTTGGTAGAGGAAGATCCAAGCAGCTCAGTTAGTAGAATTGAGAAGAACACAGAAATTCAGTGTCAGAGGCAATTCTCAGGTTTTTTGTCTGGTGACAGTCCTCAGGTCCTAAGAAAAACTCCAGAACTCAAGGACTTTAGAACCCAAGCCTCATCTAGTAGTCTCTTGGTATTATGGTGGCCTTGGTACTGCCACTGCAGAGTGGGCAAAAGCCTCCATATAATCTGACCTTCCAGCTAAGCAATGTCTGGTGCAACAATGTGTTTCTTGACTGGGTGAGGGTCTTCCTCACTCAGTTTTGCCAGAGAAAGAAAGTATTTAGTATTTATTCATACTAAATAGAACTCAGCCTTGACCCAAGATTCAGAAAATCCTTAATGTTAATGTCTGAAGACCACCATCACTTTCACCGGGACACTTCTCTCATTTTAAGCAACAGGAAATGCCAGGGATGTGTAACTTTCTGTTGCAAAAGGAAGCAAGAAACAACTGTATGTCAGTGGTACTTGTCAAGTGAGTTCCATCCTCAAGACAGAAGAACATTTAAACTCATCCTTAGGTGGAGCTATGGAGTATGATTCAGGCAACATGTAGAGAGTACCTAGATCCATTTCTAATGAGGAAAGGAAAAGCAGCAGAGGCTATGCTCCCACTATGGAAGGACACTGGATTTGACAAACTCAAATTTGAAAAGTAATCATACAGGATTGGTTAGAAAAGAGAATTACATGACTAAGGGCTAGCCATAACAAAAAATAAAGGCGTGGACAAAAGTTAAGAGGCATCTAGAATGCCTCCATCACTGAGCACTGATTATGAGGGAGGGAGAGGTAGGGTGAAAGCTCTGAGACCAGAAAAAGCAGGAATATGCTGCCTTTGAATGCCTACAGTATACACTTCTCTGGTAGTTTTTCACAGTATAGAACAGCTGATGTCTACCACATTATTGCTACAATACAGTATTCTGCTGCATCTGCAAAACAGCCACTACTGACTCTTTGCTGCTTCTCTTCTGATCAACTGCATCAATGTTTACATCAGAGTATTTTAAAATGTGAATGCCCTCTACTTTCCCTGCACTTGTAATGGTATCCAGTGTTTAATTCAGCAAGAAATAAATCTCTCTTCAAAACAACAGCCAAAACTAAATTGGGTCTTGTCTGCATGGAAACTGGACTTTTCAGGATCTTTTGATTATGTATTTGCGATTTGATACATGAAAAAGAACTAGTAGCAAAACAATGAAAACAAAACTCAGAGAGGAAAGTTAATTTATTTGTCTAAAACATCAAACTAAATTGAGATACCTTAGTTCAGTCAAAGCATCTTCAATTTCCTCGTAAGCCTGAGCTTCATAAACAAATATTCCAAGTCCGTCTACCTACAAAAATAGGATGGACAATTCTTGACTTTCTTCAGATATCAAGATAATTTACAAGTTCTTGAAGACAGACGAAGAACAGCAAGTGATCCTATATCCTACTACACTCCACCATGTTTCCCAAGTGTACTGGAAAGGAGGAATATGAGCCTTCTTTGGAAAGGTGCGTTGGAAGTCTTATGACCATCTCTTGGAGACAGGGTATGCATTTACATTACCATGATTGCCATGGTACAGAATCCTGGACTGCTACTTTTACATGCCATGACCTATGATCTGAGAGTTGTAGTCTGCTGTCTCCATTCGCAGAATGTATGGGATGATGCTGTCAATCTGAACATTTCCAATTAGTCCTGCGAAGAACAGCTCTTCAGTGATGGCAGCACTCATCAGCCTAAGAGCAGGCAATCGGAGAAGAAGTCTAGACAGTCTGGAAAATAAGTTTGATGAAATGTATTACTTAGCAGATCACAGATTTTGGTGTTGTCCTCCATGATGTTATTAGTAAAAGAAGAGAGAAAACTGACAAGGGACACTACTGGTCAAAGTTTGGTACATCTAGTTCTTGAAAGGCTTAAATATTTTAATCAGTACAGCATTAAATTTATGTTTAGTCATGTCTGGAACAGTACAGAAAATGTGTTAATGCCTACCAACTACATGTACTATGCATGTTTGGATTTAAGACTAATTGAGGAAATATTCCAAATAGATGCAATTCAAATTAAATGCTACTAATATTTATTTCTGATAGTTAATTTTAGAAATTAATGAAGTGAAAAATAGTACTCATAATATGTATTAACACATACATAATATTTGAAGTGTTCTAAAGATAATTTCTTAACTTTAGGGTGGTAAGAAGAAAATCTATCTATTACATGGAAAACTGTACAAATCAGTGACTCTGAAAAGAGAATCAATCAAGTAAGCACCTAAGTTTACAGACCTGTAAGTATCATCTGGATACGCCTTTGTTACGTAGTCTTGGAACTCCATGTAAGCTTTTTCTTGAAATTTCTCAATCTGTACCACATTTTCTAGACCTGGGTGATCTGAAAAAAAACCCTCTTCTTTGTTATACCTGTTCTACAGAAAATGAACTAAAGTCCATATAGACTATCCAGCTGTCAACATACTGAAATCATCATGTAGTAGCTGCAGCAACTTCAGTTCTAATGGTAAACATTATTTTACCTCCTTATATTTCTCTTTTACATTTATATTTTACATGATTTTCCATAAATATGATCAGACATTTCAAATAAATTCAGTGCTTGCAATGTTTACATTAATATTGATGATACAACTGTTCTCTGTGTAGCAGTAAAACAAGATTGTTTCAACACACTGACATTTTCTGCAACATTGTATGCACAGATAATATTTAGGTGAAAAGTGATAAAATTAAGATCAGTGGAAGAAGCAGAATAAAAAGCTGTGAACTGTTTCCTAAGACACACAGAAAACAGCACTGAATCATAGAATATGCTGAATTTGACCCATCACTGTCATCGAGTCCAACTCCTGGGCCTGCACAGGACACGCCAAGAATCACACCATGTGCCTGAGAGTGTTGTCCAAATGCTTTTTGAATTTAGATTGGCTTGTATGTAGCATATTGTTCTTTTTCAGCTGTTTGGTACAAAAATTTCAAATGTGCTAATCATGATTTTTAGCAGTGATTTGAACTTAATTGAAATGTAAGTGTTGCTAAAATGAAAGGACATCAACCTAACTGCCAAGTCACTCTTGGAAATTATTATCCAGTAATTCTGAACTCTCTACGTGGTCTGTAATTTTATTATCCATCTATCTGAATACAAAAATTTTACTTTCACACCAGCATGACAAATCATGTCAATGAAGAGTTAGAGTTGATGTGCAAAATGCATCACTTCATGCTGCTGCTTTTAGAGCCATGTCAGGAACACAGCAAGAAATCATCTTCTGGAAACAGTAGTTTGAAGACCACTGCTTGTACACTTGCAGCCATTCAGAAAGATGTCAAGTCTTCTTGGCACACCCTGTACACTAATCTCTTTGCCCAAGGCTGTCTTGTGGCAATCAAACAGCTGTCTTGGCACAGCTGGATCACCTAAATGTGAGAGTAAAAAATTCTTGAAGATAGAGGAAGTACTCGAGATTTGTACATTTTTCTTTCATCGGAAGTCCTGGTTTTGGCTTTGTATTAAGTCCAAATTCTGAATGGTGAATCTAAGGTCTTCTGGATACTGATATAATACCTGAATGCCTTTTGTGAAAAGTTAATTCTACAACTTTCAAATAAAGAAAATTAATTTTGTAACTTTCTACAGTCCAGGCATATGGGTACAATGTTACTACTCAGTAAATATCTACCATAACCAGAGGACTCCTTGCTCCCTATTGTAAACTAATCACCCAGAAGGGAAATAAAGTTATATTACCTTCACTGTCTAATATATGTCTAGTAATGCTACTGAAAGTACATTCAGCAAATACTGTTTAGGAGACAGAAATAATAATGTAAGTGAATGTCTGTGGAGTTCATTCACCAGAATGCTATATGCTTTGTCTGTGTGGAGGGGGGTGATGTTTCTCTATTTCTGAATGTGAGAACTGATGCCCAGATAGTCCTTATATATTAAAATCCCAACTTCAATCCATCATGCCTGGATGTGCAAGAGCAATACTTCAGAAAATTAAACTGCAGGTCTTCAGGAAATGTACCCCAGAAAGGAGACACAGAATTAAAAGCAATAAATAAATAAATGAAAAGGAAAAAAACAAAAATAAAACAACAAAAAACCCAAATCAACAAAAAAACCCAAATATGAGTGGCACAGCCAAGAATAAAAATCTGCTAATAAAAAGAATCAGTGTCCCCCCACAAAATAAGTCCCCACAGCAACATTCAGCTGTTTACATTAAAAAATTAACCCTCCTCTTCCTGCAGTCCTTACACACCTTCCAAGATTCTTCAGCAAATGAGGCAGTATATATAATATTTTATATATATAATAATATATATTATATTGCATATAATGAAACAGTTATATGGCAACAAATAGCACAGATTAAAATTTTACATTTGGAATGATTACATACCAGGACTAAAGAGGACAATTGCTTTCAAATATGCATATTCATATCCATCTAGACACAGCTTAACCATGCTGTTACAAAACTCTTGCAATTTGAAGACATGTTCCATTACTAGTCTTCCTCTGTCTGTTGGCAGCTTATCTAAATAAAGACACACAAAAAAAAAATTCCCAAGTTCACACATGCAAACAACATGGTCATACTGGAATTTTAAAAATAATTTTCTTATTAGACACAAACAATGGGAAATCTATGCCATCTATAAATTCCTATTAGGTCTGAAAAATCCTGGCACCAACAGTTATGGAATATTAACACTCTTTTTCACCTCTTCCAGTTAGGGCTCTTCCTGCCACTAATGCTTCCAGTAATCAGGCATGGACTGGAGCTTGATATGATCAGGGAAGGAAGAGATTTTATAAGTAAAGCATACACTGCTACTGCTGACCTGTGCTCTGTGTCTAAGGACCAGGTGCCACATGGTAGGACAGTGTACAGCTTCATGGGTTATTTCAGTCAGAGACCATGCCACTGCTAGGAAAGGTGTACTATACACCTTCCCTGATTTGCACTGAGGGAAATGTGGCTCATGCAGAGCTGTTCCCCTTGAGTCAGCAATAGCAAAACAGCCTGAAAACCATGTTCCCTCCATAACTCATCAAAACTAGAGTCTCCAGACTCCACAAACTTGCTATCTCTTCGAGATACTGCAGCTGGCATACTGCACAACTGGTTCTTCCAGCCAACCTGAATTCCCAATTTAAATGGCAGAAATACATATATATATCAATATAAATAATGATAAAAACATGACTAATTACTACAATACCCTTTCTGGTAAACATACTTTAAATATTACATAGACCAAAATTTTCAGATTCCATTTGTATCTGTCCTAGAGACAATCACAGATTTGTATCTTTAGCTGATCCAGTACATCTCGTGATTTGATTAATTTGTTTTAAGGTATTATTATTTGTAAGAGGATCTTGTGGATGTTTTTAAAACACAAAAAAATCTTGGAAATTGTTATTTAATTACTTTAAAGAAGATGAAAATCTATAGTCTGGTAGGCTGATTTTTTCCAGTTTACCAATCAGCATTTGCATAGCATCAACAACAGTGAATTTTCATATTCCTAATAGCAAACAACTCAAAAATTTAGTTAAAGCTGAAAATGCTTAGATATTTGTATGTGCATCTACCTTATGAATAATGTGCTATGACTATGAACAGATGAAGACTATACTATTATTGACTGGTTAGCTTTCAGTTAACTGACAACCTTGTATCCACAAGCACACAAAGCTTAGCTAAAAGACTCCCCCTCCCGCTTAGAAGGATAGAATTAAAGAGGCCAACTGACATGTCTTTCATTTGAATGAAAAATGTGCCAAAGATGCAGGACATGGGATTAACAAGGAACAAAGTGTACCTAGGGGAGATCTGTTGAAGGCTTCCATGTAGACTAAAAGTCAACAAGCCAAGTTATGTATCACCACCTTGGCATTCAGCTGCTTTGTGTCACAGCCATGAAGAACAAGGACAGGTGAGTCCTTCCTTACTTTTATCCTTCATAGAGAGGAATCATATTCACAATACTCTTGTGTCCTTAATGTTGATACTGCCCAAAATATTCCTAATTTGGGCTAGTGGTATTAACAGACAGCAGAACACTATTACACATTATAACATATAAAAATAAAAATAATGGGTTTTTTTTTCATTTGGAGGTAAATATTAGCATAGCTGACTTTTGCAAAATTGCTAAAAAATTCTGTCTTGTGGACTGTAGTTGCTAGTATCATTTTGTTTCAATACTAACATGAAATTCTTTAAACAATAAATTTATAATAACAACTGAAGGACAAATAAAGAGTTTCTGTGCACTTCAAAACCTTAAAATCATCAAGTAATTCCCCAAGTCTGGCATGTGCACAGTGTACACCTTACCTTGTTGTAAACTGCCTTGAAGGTGATTAACAAAAGCAGCTAAGATCGTTGCCACATTCATAACTTGTGAGCATTGTGCTAGACCAAGCGTAAAAAGTTCATTCCAGCAGGCTTTTACTAATGATATGCTGTTATCCTGTCTATTAAAAAGCACAATAATTTAATAAAACAGCCATTTGCATTTACACTTTTTTAAAATTTGAAGAACATGTCATAAAACATTAATCTAATTAAATCATTACAACCAACACCAAAGTGAAGTTCTGCATATTTTTTCTTTGCCTGCTAAAATTAAAATATCTGGTTTAAAGTGACTTTTGTAAAGCAATAAATTTTTGTTTAAATTACCTTAAAGGAGATAGATTTCTGTTACAAAAGTAAGCTGAGGTTACAGTAAATGACAACTGTCACAGTGTATTGCATCATGCTAATTTTCTTAGCATTTGGGACAACATTTATATACATGTACAAAAAAAGATAGCACTGCTCCTGTATTGTGGATGTAGAACAGACTCAGGAGTCTTTCTTTTTTTCACTTGAAAATTGACAGGTTGGTGTAATTTTTTAATTAAAGATATGGGTGAAATGAAACATGGGTGATCAAGTTTCTGAGCTTGCTGACTGCTACTTTCTGTGTCCTTTTCAAGTTTGGAATAAGGTTTGAAATACAGACTTCAAAGTTAAATACCAGTCATAAGGATTTCTTTGCTTGAATTTTAATTTTGTAGCTTAAAATTAAATGTATAAATTCATATTCAGTCACTTCCATATTAGCAGCCTAATTTTCAGTAATACCAAGCATCTCTAACACTCAGAGCTTAACAAGAGCTCTGTACCTTAGAAAGCAAAACCCACCAGAAAGGAGTCAAATTCAGGTACCACGTTTCAGTTTTAGCCACAGAATAATGAAAATTTAAAAGAAGTACAAGATCTATCAAAGAAGAAAAGCATATTAAAGCTAGGATTTCAACTACAAAAATACAGTGGAATGGATTTTTGCAAGAATGTTGATACAAACTTCAAGAACAGTTCTGATGATTAAGTGCAATACAAAGATGCCAAGTGGCAGGTGTACACAGACATGTCTTTAACTGGATTATTGAGAGCTTACTGAGAGTAATATGATTTTTCATTAGGATCAAATTCTTGTTATGGTAGACATGATACTGTAAATGCAGATTCTGCATATATTTGTCACATCTTTGCTCATCTCCTTTAACATAATCAAAGGGACTATGCTGAGAAAACAGGGCATACTAGCTACTCCTCTGATACGTGTGTGTAGATAAACATGTCATCTACAGCATCTTTATGGCTGATCAAAGTTACACCAGAGCCAGTTCTTAAGTTTGCTTAAGCAGCCTCACAAAACTAAGAGGCTGTAACCAGCTTGGTGACGGTTTCAGCAGGAAACTCTCTTGTGAACAGAGATGCTCATGCAGGAAGATGAACTAATCAGTATCTGGCATCATTAACTACATCATTAGGTCAAAGGCAACTACCCTGCTGTGACTACAGGAGAATGTCTGCCTGAGGAGAAAACAACCCAGGTGCAATTATCCATCTTCCTTATAAAATCATTACTATCGTGCTTCATAAATTTCCCTTCAGTTTAAAAGTGAAATGAGTCACCCTTCTGAAAGTCAGAATTATAGGATATAATGTAATAATGTATAATAATAATAATGTAATATGTAATAATGTAATCATCCAACTATAAGGGCTTCATTCATTTCAAATAAATCTCCACTTGAAAAGTTTCCATTTTAAGTGCTTTAAAGGAAAACTGTGAATTTATGTTATTTATTATACTGTTGCCCATGATCTTTGTTGGGTCTATACATGCTATACAGGTGAATATTAACACTATTATGGCATCTTACTCCTCCATATTTTTTAATCAGAAAAATATATTGTGAAATAACATAAAAAGAGCATGTGCAGACTTTTCTTGTTAAATCTTTTCAAAGAGAGAGGTCTTCTGTACTGCATTTTATTTTCAAGAAATTCCCATTTGTTGTTAGAATACCAATTTGTACTAAATTTGCATTCTTTCTTTGTAACAAAAAAACTTTTTAAAACTTAGAATGACATAATGTACTATGTCTATTTGCTATGTATTTTGTAATTCTGCAGGTCAACAATTTCTACCAAAAGAAGACATCATATTTACTTATTTTTTTACCCTTACTATTAACTTTATACAATATTCCTTTTTCCTTCCCCAAAACACAGGCTTAATTACACACAGTACAATAACTTTCATTAAAAACTGTAGAATCACCTGTCTGAAGCATCTGAGTAAACACAAATGGCAATAATAGATCATCCTGCTTTTGACATCTTTCCTGGAAAAGGGGACAATCCCTCATTTTAAAAGAAGAACTCTCTTTGCTGCCACAGTCACAGGCTATTTTGATATTTAATTAAACAGAAAACACTGTAGATGAGAACAAACTAACGTGATTTATTCACCACTTATGTCACAGCTGATAGAGTATCATTTTGTTTGATGTATCTTCATAAAGTTACTTCTAAATATAAAATAAAACAGTTTTTCCCATGTAGTTTGGATATGTTTTTTTCATGATGATCAGTAATGGACTACAAAAGTGAACTTAAGAATTTTAAGCAATACACTGAATTGTGATGGAGAAGCAGGATGCCATACAAACTGTAAAAAGAACAGTTAAAATTACCTTTCAGTTACAGGAGTCATTTATTTTTGGGAATCTTCTGATATTAGACATTTTCATTCTGAATGTTTGCTGAATCTAGCTAACCATTTTCTTCATGTAGGTTATTAAAGGCAAAATTATTACCTGTAGTTCACCTTATAAGGATAAAAATTTTGGGGATTCAGACAGGAGCATCTTTTTGGTGATTACCTGATAAGCATCAGGATGTAGCATAGAGCTGTAGCTATTAAAAAGCTGACAGAAATTCCTATTTTCTCAAAATATATTTAAGAAGCAACAGTTTGTGGGTATTTGATTGTTTTAAATCTACTCCTTTTTCTTACAAAACCCAACCGAAGTCCTGAATTTGGACTCAGATTTGGAGTGGTTTTGATTCAGAAAATTTACCTTACAATTAAGATTTATAACCATTTTCATTAGTAGTTTTATGTTTTAGAAGTCCCTGAAGAAGACAGCAAAAACCAAAAATTCAAAAGCACATACCCACAATGTAAGTGTATAAAGTAAATGAACACTTACCCCAAAGCTTGGAAAGATGGAATGGAACGTGCCCAGTGCATGGACAAGAAAAGCAATCTGGAGGCAGACTCGCAAATATAGTGAACATTAAGATAATCAGGCATAGGAGAAGGCATGGTGAGCTGCAAAAAAAAGAAAAATTAGGATGAAAAAAAGGAGAGAGTGTAAGACAGTTATTTTGTTTTCTTCATAATATGTTTAGGAAGAAATCAGTAATCTGAGTTTCTTTTAAGTGAAAAAATAAAATTGTTCATTCAATATAAAAGGTATAATCCTGACACAAAACTGAATGCCTGCCTTTTGCATTATTAGCCACACCATTACATGCTGTGTTATATACCTACAAAGCAACAAAAAAGACAAAGTTTGATTCATAGATAAAGGTTCATATCTGGGACAACTGGAAATGGAAAACCTCAAATTTCAATATCTGTGACATTCTTGAAGAATAAGAGAGAAGAATCATTGTAAACTGAAATGAAGTTGCTTACATTAGAGGAGGTACAACTCCTGAAGAGAGAGAGAGAGAGAGAGAATTCTATTTCACAAAACATCTTTTTTTTACTTTTAATGAATATTTTAAAAATAAATACATGAGAAATCTTTTGGTGTTTGAGTAAAATACCTAATACACTGCTGTTCCCAAGTCCAAAAAATATAATCAACATAACTATATCAGAAAGGACCCTTCAAAATGTTAGTTAGTAAAATTAGTGATGTTACATGCATATGTGAAGAATGATTTGACCCAAAATAGCATAGAACTTGTAATTCTGTCTTCAGAAATTAATACTTTTTAACATGTTCTGGGTAATGCAGTTAAAATGCTGAAATTTGCATTAGAGATGTTAATTTGATCAAAACAGATGCTGAAACAGTGGTAAGGTTTAACCAAATGCCTGTTAGCTACTAAGTTTTCAGATGATGAAGCTTTTTGATTTGTCCATGAAAAATAAGATGATGAAAAAAAATAGATAGAAGGAACTTCTGCAAGCTTATAAAATGAGAAGTAAGTCCAGAAAATATATACATCTAAATAACACAGAAATGTATGTAAGTCAATTACTAACATGCTAAAATCGGGTATCTACACAAATAAGAAACAAAGAAGAAACAAATACACCTATAAGTCTCAAAATCCTGTTGCAGGTTGCATCAGATCCAGCCATTAACAAGTGAGAATGTAGATGCTGCCTCTGCTTCATGCAATAAAATGCTGACTCTGCTTCATGCCAATACTTTGTCTATTTAAATCCTTTTGTACAGATTACCCAGTACTTTTAAAGGTAAAAAACTATAAAATAACCAGTGCAGCCCAACCACTGCAGAGCACAGTACTTTCTCCCAAACAAAGAATTAACCAGTGAACAAAAACAGTTAATTAAATGCAAATTAATGCCAATACCTGAACAAATGCTCCTCTAAGAAATTCAAAATAAAATTTAGTCAGATCATTAATGTACATCTCTATGTCAAAATAGTTATAAAGAGTCGACATTAAGAAAGTATTCAGTACCCTGAATGCTACATGAGCATCACTGAGTAGTGGCCCCTCTATTTCAACGATGTTCATGTTTGTTTCTCCACCAAGCACCTGTGCACTGGCATCAACACTTTCAGAGTTCTGGCATGCTGAGCTCTCTCCTGGATTTAATGCTTTTGCAAGAGTATCAAATGCCCTGTAAGATCACAAACAAACAAAAAAAATTCATTTTAGAGGCCATTTCAATTTAAGAGGAACCCGCACAAGTCTGAAACCTGTATGCAGAAGTCTGTTTCAAAGAGAGATTTGGAAAATAAGTCATCAATAGCATGCTTTTCCTGACATTCCACCAAACTCTGAAACAAAAATTAGCAGCAGATCCTGTTTACACTTGTTGCCAACAAATTCACAGTTTTGACATATTGGTTGTGCTGGTGAATCACAGTTTGCTTTTCAAGATATCTTTAGTGATGTTCACTGAGAGTGCTGGCGTGAGCATTTTGAGGACAAGATCACCAGACTGCTGTTACAGTCACTTACTGCATGTATAAATTTTACAGGCTTTTAAAGCTATGAAGCACAAACAGAATGAGATTTTTTTTTTTGTTAAGTAGAGTTGTAGTTAAGTTGTAATTTCAAATTAAATTTGAAAAGACTGCTTCAAAATATGTAAGAGAAAGTACTCCCATGCTTTCAATAAAATCCAGTACCCTTTGCTGCGTGGCAGTGACTCTTGGCTTTCACAAGCACAAATGCTAGAGGGCAGATGTCAGGACAAGCACAGATATATTTACTCAAAAATACACAGACTTGATCACTGCCTACAGACAGATGACATATCCTGGGAACAGCAACATTTCTATACAGTGTTGCATGCTGAAAAACTTATGCACTGAGGCCTGAAAACTTTACAAAAGCTGATTATCAGCTTGTATATAGAGCTCATTCTCGATTTATAGACATGTTTATTACCACAGAGTCTAAAAATCACTGATTTAATTCCAAATCTGGGATAGAACTTGGCCACCTTCTCTATCCCCACACTCTCTAGCTATATGAATTCACTAATATGCTAAAAAAATTGAGCTGTTTAACATAACTACACACAACCAAATGAAATATCACAGAGCTGCTGACACTGCCTAAAGGCTTGGGATGGTAAACAAACAACTTTTTGGTCCTAACTAGCCTGTGTGCCTTGATGTGTACACGAGGGTGACTGGGGCATACACAAGTGGACTATACAGACATACCTGGGCCATCTCCTGTCTCTGGTACGTACAAAGTTGGCACAAAGGGAAGGCATTCATGGCTCAGCTCTAGAAACGATTCTATGGACTGCTGCTAGAACATCTAAGTTTCAGGTCTTCCACAATTCACTCTTTGCAGTCTTAGGTAGAACAGGCAAACACAACAGCTCAGTGACAGCTGCTTTTAAGAAACAACAGGATCTCTGCAGGGCTCTTCATACAGCATGGACAGAAATTTAAGAGAGGAACAAGACTTCCCCTTTCTCCAAAAGGTAAATGTCACATGCATCTGTCACTATCCTGTATTTATTCTAGCACAGGCTGAAGAGTCCTTTTTAAATAGTGTGGGCATGTATACTTGTTAACCATGTC